AATTAGGTGTCTATTTACTTGTGACCACTCAGTGTACCTATACAGGCACCACTTACCACTGAGCAAGATCCACTACCTTTAAGAGACATGATCCTGCAGGGGAAAAAGGGAGAGAAAGAGAACCACCATATAAAGAAACGTAACAGGTGGAATATAAACATGTTTGGTGTGGTCCACATGGCCAACTGGTTGATCTCTTCTAAAGGATGATGATGATGAATTGTTAAGGAAAAAGTAAGGTGTTGAATCTGGCGAAATAATACCTGAAAAAGACGTTGGTAATCGGGAGATAGGGATGTATACACCAGCCTTATAAATTGAGAGAGGAGGGTTCCAGGGAATAAATAACTAGTAAAGAGATGTACGGAGGGGAGCCATGGGGGCAATATAACAACAAAAGTAAGAAATGGATATACAAGCCTATTCATTCCTGAACAGGAGTATAACTGTGAAATGGGGGTGGAAGGAAATCAGTGTAAAGAAAGAATTGCCCTCAGCAGCTGCTGATGTTTTGGAAAAAAAAGTATGATCTGGACAATGGAGAAAATAGGTGTGTTGGTAAAGTGTACATGAAATGTCGATGGCAAATATATCCAACCCCTGACATCCACAGGAATAGGAAGTAGGTTTTAAGGGAGAGATGGGTAAGGGTGTGGAGAACAACATTAATAACCCCAATCCAGTAACATTGTAAAGTGAGGAGGAAGACCAATCTGGAAGGAATGCAACAAGAGGAAAACATTGGGAGAGGAAAACACTTTGCAGTATCTGATAAAATGGAAGGTGTTAGATAACGCTGCTTGATATCCTGCAGTAGAAGATACTGATGAGCTATGATCAAACAGCCAGGTAAGGAATTCTGCAACATCAATTATAATTGGCTAGAAAGGACAAAATTCATGATGCAGAGACATTTAGCAAAAAAATGACCATTTTCTCTGATAAACTATGAGTGAGGAAGGACAAATGGAATGGGTTAAAATAGATGCTACATGCATGGATAATCCAGATCTCCTCAAAAGGGACCGGTCAAAAACCACATGTGAAGACAGTGTGTGTGGAGTGCAGAATATAGAAGCGGCAGCTGAGGTTAACAGAGGAGGGATGGTGAAAGAAAAATAAGAAATGGGGGAGATAGTTGAAGGAAGGAAAGAAGTGTGAACCAGGGCTGTGCAAGCCAGAAAGGTGCAATGAGAAGTACCTGAAACAGAGAGGATTGGATGATAGATATCACCCTGGGTAGGAGTTGGATCAGAGGATGCCCGTATAGGTACTGGTTGGTCCAATCCTGACTGAGAGTGTCCACAACCAAGGCCTGCGGATGAGATACCAGAGACCAGAATAGAGGCAATTTGGAGTTGTGTTGTGTGGCAAATGCATTCAAATGAGAAGTAACTTATTGTGTGCAGTCATTGTAAATCTGGGGGTTGAGGGACCACTCCATGGGGAAGATCTGGTCTAGATGAGAAAGACGATCTGCAACCAAATCGAAGGCACCTGGAACATGACATGCAATGAATGATGTGTGAAAAGCGTGGGCCCAAAATAGTTTCAACATTCAGAAACATATTGAATGTGAACAGGTACCACCATGGCAACTGATGTATGAGACAACAGTTGAATTTTCAGAGCTGAGGGAAAGAAATGATCTAAATCTTGACGAACGGCCAGTAGTTCACAGATGTTGATATGTAAAGTTGCCCACCAAAGACCAAGACCTGAAACCACTTGATGCTCCAAATACCCCCCTCCCCCAACCCCCCAAGTGAAGCATTTGTGAATAGGTGCAGCTTGGGATGAGGAGGTGGAAGGGGAACACCCACTATGGTGGTGTCTCTGTGTAATCACCATGTGAAATCATCCAGGAGGGAAAGTGTGAGCTGCATAATGGAGACCAAGGGATCCCTGGCAAGGTTCCATTGATTGTGCAGCATCCACTGAAGGATGTGCATGTGAGCCCACATCCCAAAAAATGAAAGAACCTCATGAGCAGTGACAGTAATTGAGGAAAGGGCCTTGGTGACTAAAAGCTCCATAAACCATAGATGAAGGGGAGAAGGTTGAGCCCGACTGAGGTTGGAGTTGAAAAATATTCGTAAGTGGATGAGATATTGGGTAGGTACAAGGAAGGGCTTATCCACCTTGATGATCCATCCAACATTAGATGCTTCTCTCAGAAGAAACTGTGTGTGTTTGTGTGCTACTTGATTTGATGGAACCAGCAGAAGCCAGACATTCATATAATGATGGAAGCACAAGCCTTAAGTATGGAACAGTGAAGCAAATGCCCAGACCACCTGACAAAACATATAAGGCAGTGGCCAGCCTGAAGACCAATGCATGAAACACATAAACCTGTCTCCCATGAACAAACTGAAGATACTATTTGGACTGTGGGGCAATGGAGATGTAGAAGTAAGTGCCAAAACATCTACCTTGGTCATCCACAGAATCAGAATGAATGGCCACTGTAGAGTGAGATAAGATTCCTTGGTAAAAGAGAGAAGATCTATGAAATGGTTGAGCCAAGACAAATCTATCACTGGATGTCAGTCCCTGGTCTTTTTGAGAACTGAAAAAAACCTGGAGAGGTTAGACTGACTGATTCTTCAGCATCCTTGAGAAGAAGAGTCTGTACCACCTTAAAGAGATGTTGGCAAGTTGTGGGATCCCAAGGAGAAAGAAAGGACATTGAAACTGGTGGCAACTGAAGGGAGGGTGGGTAAGAAAGTCAATGAAGACTCCTTCGGATAGCATCTGGATAACCCAAAGGTTGGAAATGAACTCCTGCCATAGGTGAATAATTCAGAACAGATGTGTACTTACCCTGGCAGAAACAACTGGGAATTCACCAGTACCATGGGCAGAGTGTGTTTCTGCAGTGAGAAACACAATGACTCACCATCAAACCCTGAAGAGAGAAACAGTAATGGTTGAGAAGGAATTGGACAGGAAACGGGAGCAGGGGCAGGTGAAGGGAAACTGGAAACCAAAGAAGAAATAGAAGAATGTTGTCTTGCAAGACTCCACATGTGACTACAGACTCGGGACATCTCCAAAATGAGATGTGTAAAAATGGTGCCCCACAAAGGCCGTGCAGATAGGTAATGGGTAAGCACATCTGAGACAAGAATGCACCCCTGCCTAGGAGATTCCAGCAGCAGAAGAGCCATGTTTGGAAGGCAAGGACAGAAGAGGATAAATGCACCAACATGGAAAATATGAGGGTGTGGGTCTCCTCAGAAAACCCCTCAGGGTTTTTTTTTGGATAGCCACGGCCAAAAGTGTATGGTAGACAGGTTTCTAAAAATAGAGGTTAGCCACAGTCTGTAAAATTGGGCCTGGGAGAACTTAACTGGAGAATCAGGGTTGGCCCCCCCATACTTGCATCAAGTGGAGTGAATTTAGAAAAGGAAAGTTTACCAAAGCAAAAATATCCAAAGATCTAGGTAGGGGGACAAGGCATAATGGATCCTGCATGTAATTGTGCCTGGAACTGGTCAGAATGGATCCTGGTATTTGGAGAGCGGGGAAAACAATGTATTCTGACAAAAGGAGTTGTGTGTAAAAGGGAAAGTGCAGGGTCATACAAGATGGGGATCACAAAAAATATGTAACATACCTGTGAAATCTTGTACAAAAAAGGCTGAGGTAGGCTTGGCAGCATCCACAAGTGACACACAAGTTTGCATGGCATAGGATGGGGGATGAAAAAGGCTCTCTAAATCCTCGTCCTTGAGACCAGGTTCTTCTGGACATGGAAGATCTTCTCCAGATTTGGGAGAAGCTTGTTGTTTCATGTACTGAACTAAGGTTAAGACCATCTCAGTTGAAAGTGTAGGATCTGAAGCCTGAGAAATGACATTTCAGAGTAGTAGTAGTCGTGACATGAAATTCAAATTCATGGTTCAACAGTGATAAATTCACAAAATTAAATAGTGAAGAAAAGAAAAACTATTGAGTTAATTTTACTTCAACTCAAGTTGTAACTATTTCAAATTACTACTTCAAGAAAAAATATGCAAAAAATTAAGTGTGTGCAAATATGAAAAAAACGAGTTAAAATCAAGAACATCCAAACACGACAGTGCCTAAATGAAAAATGAAGGTTAGGCTGAATAGTATAGAGGAAGTAACCTGCATCAGGAGAGTGTATTGTGCTCCTATTGGTGAATGGTTGCTGTATGCTTATTTGCATGCAAAGATGTAGTTGAACCATGTTGAATGAGGAGTAGGTGGGAGTTTCAAGTCTGATGTGAGGCAAACAATTTGCACATATAGAGGGCAGCACTGAACGAGATGCTATTTGTGATGGGAAGTAAGATACCATATCAGAAGTTCTGATATTCATTAGAAATTTGCTGAACAATTATGAACAATAAGAAAGAGATGAAAGACTAATCATCAAAAGCATAAAATATGATAGAATACACGTCCATTTAATAGTTGAATTAATTAATGAAATGAAAACAAACTTCAGATGATGTGCTGTGATTGCTCCTTTCTTCCCTTGCTCTTTCCCATAAATCAAAGGCTATATTGAAAGACTGTGAAATTGTGAGAGCAACAGCTTCAGCAATTTTTCTTTTGCTGCACAGAAAAGCATGACATTCCAATGTTTCATTTTTGTTTGTAGCAATGAAAGACACTACACGCTCATAACTTGAGTCAGCTGAGCAGAAAGATATCCTGCAAGACATAAAAACAATCTGGATATAAATGCCGACATAAAACTCAGTGTTTGCTAAATCTGATGAAACCTACAAAACACTGGGATATAAACACGGGTAGATGAAAAATCATCGTTTACTAAGAATACTGCTAGAAACAGTCATTCATACAGCAAATATCGCAAATACAACACAAATATAGTAAACAAGACCAACAAATAACTAATAATCTATCTATCATGCTGCTCTCTCAGCTTCAGGGGTTTACTTTTTCCCCGGCTGGGTGACTCAAGACTCTCACTAGCTTATCATCATCATTGCTTCTCTGATTCATTCTTTGTTATATTCATCAACTGTAGAACACCTCCACTTTGACTTTGTTTCAGAAACATATTTATAACTTATCTAACAAAAAATACAATCAATGTTGTTTTATCCATACAATTTCTTCCGATGTACAAGATATCCATGTCAATGTAAAAGAAAGCTTTTTCTAAATCACTGTGAACAAGAGTATAAGATCTCAATGGCTTTATTATAACAGTTTAATCATATCACATGCATGTAAGGTCCCTGTGAATTTCTTTAAAAATTGTTTGTCAAACTTTAAGCAGGTGTTCAAATGTTAAGTTTTTTTTTGTATCAACTTCCTTTCTACTTACCGTTAGTTAACCTAAGTATAACGTATCAATATAGTATTTAGTTAAAATTATTTAGTCTAACCTTTAACTTATTAAAAC